GCATTTACCTATGAGGATACCAGCACCCCCACCCCCATGGGTGGGTCAGCAAAGCAGCCCCTGCAGGGTGTGAATGCACAGTTCTCCTGGCCTGCTTTGGGCACAAAAGAAACATCATGGGAGGAGCCATTAGGTTAGGGTTCCTGTTGCAACTCCAAGGTTTTCATCAAAAGGTTCTTGGAGGCAGGTGCACTGACAAATGTGGGCCACAGCAAGAACCCTCTGCACCATGAGCAGGACATTTTAATGTAACTCTGCAGAGCATGCCCTCTTCCCACCCGCACAGGGCTTTCTTGCTCTCTATTCTGCATATCCACATCGGCAAAGGAGATTTTAGAAAATGTTCTTTATGAAGACCTTGTCCCCTCCAAAATGGAAATAAATGTCCACATTGTATTTTGGCAGTACAATGGCTTGCCATGTTTTAAAATTTTCGTTTCAAATGATTAGAATGGCTTGTGTAAAAGTGTAAGCTAATTTCAACTGTAACATTACTATTTCCCCTCCACTTGGAAACCTGTGGATTTAAATATCCCAGGGAATGAGGTCGATGTGCAAAACTGTGGAAGGCAAAGGTGAGCAATGGGAGCCAGAGGCTTCCTGGGCCCAGACGGAGCTCCCTCCTAATCCAAAAGAGATGAAACACAGTGACCCAGAAGCATATTTGCCATTATATATATTTATTTTCTTCTTTTGGCTATTTACAAACCTTTATTTCAGCATACTTTTTAGAAGCATAATTTTATGTTTCTTCATGTTTTTCTTTTTTGAAGTCAGGACTGGTCAAGGTCTTTTTCATGCAAAAATGTACATTTAATGAGGACAAAGAGGGCACTGGGTCATCTTGGGGGGTCTCTGCTGCTCTGCGCCTCTTTGTGGGTCAGGTCATCCAGGACTCGTTGGTCTTGTTCCTCCTCTCACTGCCTGGGCCCAGCACCACTCCTGAAGACCAGAGTGTGTGTGGTTTCACTGTATTTCATCTGCCTCCACAATGGCACTGCCTTGGCTGCCCTCTGCAGAATTCTTTGGCACTACAGGAAGTCAGACACCATGGCCAGTTGTGCTACACTTGGGCATGTTCAGTTTTGCTGATGACTACTGATCCCAGAGATGCAGTCCAGCAAGATGGTGGGTGCAAAGTCTCACACATGTTGAGTCAACAGAGGTTACCCTGATCAACTGGGGCTATTTCATAATTGAAGTATATTAGGGAGACACTGTAACACCCTCCCCCCAAAAACCCCAACACTGATAGTACAAATTTCATATTGATCACAGGACACTATACAACAAACACAAACACACTGCACTTTCTATAGGACAAGTCACAATTTCCTTTGATGTTCATCACTGCAGCAGGGTACCATGCAGGCGGATAGCTTAGCAAATGCATTCATTAGTTAATAGCTCAAAGGGTTAGCTCTTTTATGCACAGAGTAAGGAAGCCTCATTAGGAATGGTCACAGTCTCAGCAAAACTCTGCTCTAAATATGCAAAGACTTTGCAGCCTTGCTATTAACAAGATGACACAGATTGTAAGAACACATTTGATAAGCTCCAGTAAGACCCAACAGATCATCCATTATCTCTGCAAAGGCACCCCACAGTGGCAGACGGAATGGGCAAGAACTTGGTAGGAAACATGTCATACATCCCCACAACAAAATGACACTTTGGAGAGACAGAGGGTGTCCTTCCTGTGGTAGTGGTGGAGAAGGGATTCTACGGGGAAAGTTAATGGGATAGCCCATGTGAAGAAAAGAAAGGGAAGGTGGGTAGAGGAGTAAAGCGGGGGTTGCTCCATCCCAGACTCAGCAAGACCCTTCCCTCTGCCCAAGCTCCAAATTATCTATCACCACAAGCACTCTGATTGGTTGGGGCTGAAAAAAGCTCTGTGGGCTAAACCCCAGGAGCACCCTGCTAGATGCTCTGCACTTCCAGAGTTACTTGTTGTGAGGTGAGGAGTGGGAGGGGATGTAGGCAGCCAGCTGGAGGAGGGTGTGCCGGCATGGCTGAGGACACCTAGGAATGGGGCTCAACGACAATGCTGATGACAGAACACACACAGAACATGACAAGGGGAGATCTGGCATTTTCAGGCTAAAATGATCAAGTCCATGGCAAACCCAAAAGGTTCAAATTTCTGAAAAGGTGTAATTGCCAAACCTCCACCTCACCTTGACACTTAACCTCACACAGTGTGAGTCGCAGTAGAGTTCAACTGCTCTTGTTGCAGCAAATTAGGGCAAGATATTCTTTTTAAGGTATAATATTATACCTAGTTATGTGGTTCTATGGAGATATTTACAACTGGCCTCTCTGCCCTTCCTCTGTGCTCTAAAGCCTTCCTGTGCATTGCTGCCAGACACATCTTAAAACCCCCTTGTTTTCCTCACTGCTTCAGTCTCTCTGTATGCCTCACCCCAAATGAACTGCTCACCTCCCACAGCCTCAAAGGCCATCCAGGGTCCTGAAAACCCAAATCCAAATCAACCAACCAATGTTTAGGCCCCAGGAAGCAAACCTTTCAATACCCATAATGGGAACTTCAGATGTGGGGTCATTGCTCTCCTCTCAACCTGGATCTCTCTGTGAGGGGTGTCCAAAAAAAGAAGAGGCAATGTTAGACATTCCAGCAGCAACTTTCCTGTTTTTAGCTGTCTTACAACATTTGTGTGTGTGTGTGTGTGCGCGCATGCGAATATGAAGGTAAACATATGTGATCGTGCATGGGACTATACGTGTGGCTATACGTGAGTGTTTGTGCATGTCTGTGTGTGTATATGTATATACTGCTGAGGGTGAGTGCCCGCATGTGTATACATATATATGTGACTGTGTAGGTTTCTGTGGGCGTGTATGTGTAGGAGGCTATATTTGTATGCTGCGTATATAGAAAAGGAGAAGAGAGAGGACAAGCTGGACTGATCTAGGCAGTCAGTCCCTGAGGTTCCTTGTACTTCTCTCTTTGGTCAGCCCTTTCACCCCTCTGACTTTCTCTTTCCCTGGACGGGGTGGAAAGAGAGGGTTCTGGACTCCAAATCCAAGGCTGAAGTTCAGCCAACAACCATCCCAGGACGGGATACTAAGGCACCACTGCTCCCTAATGAGCCCACCACTACAGTCCATGCCTGCAGCCATCTCCAAGGCACCTTTGGTTCTCTGCATCCATCTGCTAGCAGCCAATCCCCTGGGCCATTTCCTCACATCACTCACGTGCTTGTGGCTGCCTCCAGCCTCCACACTTGCCAGGCTTACAAGATAATTGGAATAAAGGGATGAGTTATAAAGGCTATATACAACCCCCTCTCCAGTTATTTAGCTCTCCCACCCCACTGTCTACATGATATTTCTGTTCTCAATGCATCTTCAAGGCTTCTCCCTCCCCCCACCCCCGCCTTTGTTACTCCCAAACATGTCCTTCCAGGACAAAGAAAAATGTTCTGCACTCCCAGCTTATCCCACAATTGGGCACTTCCTTCCTCAAGGCACTAAATTATCACTTCCTAGGACTACATTCAATTCTTCTGCATCTTCTATCCGGGAGAGAGCACAGATGGGTGGAGGGAGGAGGAGAGGAGTGGATGGGGACTGGGAGATGCTGCTCCCTGGAACAGGGAATTGGAAAGAAACAATCAGTTAAGCAGCCTGGCCAAATAGGGCCCCCTCTTATGTGGAACCAGGCCAAGGGAATTCTGGCGGTTCTAGAAGAGCCACCAACAGGGAATACATATGCTTTCAGATGTGTTTCCTTTCACACCCATTCAAATCAGATAAATAAACATGGGCATGCACACATGCACTTATACACATGCACACAGAATACACCCATGTGTGTACACACAAGCACACACATACATAAGTCACAGTTTACACACTCCTTCTTAGGGGTGTGCACACACATATATGCATTCACACGTTGTTATATATACACTCTTATACACACCAATATAGATTTACACTGATATACATAGAACTATACAGCTTCTCAAATGGTTGTATGTACATAAAGAACTACCTTGATGCACATACACACGCAGGTATACACAGAAACGCAAACACAGAAACAAACACAGTTAAAAGGGTAGGTGGCTGAGGGGCTGCAGGAGAGGCTGCCTAGGGAGAAAGGAGGGACATAGGCTGAGTGCTTGGCAAATCTTGCTCTCACATGGCCTCTGTCAATGAGGTGGAACTGCTAGGCAAGTTGGAGCTCAGGCTGCTTTCTACTTCCCTTAGGAGTCCTACTGTGTGGGCAGTGTACATGTTCCATATGCTTGGTTCACACTCATTGGCTGGTCACCAGCATCTTCCTGCAGAGATGCTACAGGTGCTGTAGAATGAGGTCTAGTGCCTGGCAGATAATCAGAACCTGGAGCACCCCCTTTTGTAAAGGGGAAGGGATAAAGGGGAGTGCCTCAGTTGAGAGAGTTAAGAGGACAAGAAGAAGGAAGAGCAAGTGAGGTGGCTCCACCACTCACTGTTTGCATGTCCTCAAGCGTGGTACATAAACTCCATTTTTTTTCCCCTTGGAACACTGGGGATGATGCACTTTGCCTTCCCTGGCTCACAGGGCTCCTGTGAGGGTTCAACGATGTGATGGGTCAGTGAGCTCGTTGATACTTACTATGCACTAGACAAATAGAAAGGATTAGTATATAGATTCACAAGAGTTGTTTGTCTGCTATTATAGACTAGATGGTGAAATCTCAAGTCAGAACTTTGCTAATCCTAGTCTTCATTCACCAAGTGCCTGCTCTGTGGCCAGTGATCAACTCAGCATCTGACCTAGACAGAGGTATTGAGTCCCTATTGTCAAGCATTCTGAAGCAGAAGTATAGACAAGAGAAGTTCCAATCCTTCCAAAGATGCCAGCTCCACCTGAGTAATCTCCAACCTGACATAATGCACTCCCTGCGAGCTCCTGCTGGAAACATGCTCTCTCACTTACCCTGACATCTCACTCAGCACCTCATCCACCCTCCCACATTCCACTCCCAACCCCCTGCCACAACACCACACTCAAAATACAGCAGAAAAAACAGTGGAGAAAAGGCACTTTCAAAATCCCCCAAGTTCCCTGGAGCCAGCTCCCTGCACTTACAAGCCATGGCTAGCCCTTCCCCTGTGCACCCCAGGCCAACTCAGCTTGACTTTCTCCTGTAAAACCCTAAGTGGGGAGTGAGCAAGGACCACAATCCCTAGGAGGAAAAAACAGAAGAAAAAAAGCAATGAAAAAGAGAATTCAACACCTCGGGGGGATGGAAAAATTCCCAGAAATGTTTGTGCTCAGGGCTCAGATCCTTCCTCTGTTCCCCAACCTGGCTCCTCTCTGTCTACTAAACATTTCCAGGGCTTTTCTGTGCTTATTAGCTGTTAGAAGTCTTTGAAAAGGTGATACTCTTTTATCAGGAAAGGAAAATCAATGTGCTATTTACCTCCAACTCCTCCTTCAATCTCCTTCCTTCCAGCCAGAACACATCCTTTCCAACTACTCTCCACCTCATGTTTATAAAGAGAAAATTAGAGCTGACTTGACTGCCCAAATAACAACAAAATAAAACAAAGAAGGCAAAACAGAACCGAAATAACTATGAAAGGAGCATAGCACAGTGTCCCTGCTGCTCTGGGGCACTGTGGGACTAATTGATATAGTATGCCCAGTAACCAATGTTGAACACCACAAAGGCAAGAGGGAAGAGGATCCGGGACCACCTGTCAACCTTAGGGACGTAGTAAGGGTGAAAGAGCTTGGAGGAAAACCCTTCACTGAAGGAGCACCCAGGGCTCAGGGGGCAACTGTCATCAGACTCTGAGTTACTGTCCTTGTCTTGGTCAAAGCCCATGAAATCATCAACGTTAAGGCTCCAGGTACTGTCAACATCACACTTGAGTTGCTTCTCAAGGTCAAGGTAGCCACTCTCAACTTTGATGTCATCAGGCAAGCTACGGATCTCATCAAGGCTGCTACGGATCTCATCAAGGTTGAAGCTTGCTTCTTGCACATACCTCAGGCTGTGGACAAGCAGATGCCTCCCACTGGGGCCATGGCCATGGTTCTCATCTGAGCTAGAGCTCTCTTCAGGGTCTTCTGGGTCACAGGTCTCAGCAAAGCCATGGGCCTCAGCATGGTTGCAGATTTCAGTAGGAATAACGCTGTCATCAATCTCGAAACCATTAAAGTGACTGCCATAGCTGTGCAGGGCCTGCTCTGAGGTGGAGGGGAGATCACTCAGGCTTTCTCTGGTCTGGCCCGAGAGAGAAGACAGTGAACTGAGGCTTTCTGAGGTGGCCAGTGGGGCCTGCACTGAGATGGAGGTCAAAGAGCCGAGGCTTTCTTGGCTTGCCAGGTGGGCCTGCACTGGTCTGGAGGACGGAGAGCCATTTTCATCTTCTATGTTAACCTGGTCATCCTTTGAGGAGATAGTAGATAGATTTATGAAGTTGGTCAGATCACATCCTACACGAATAAGCACTGGTAGGGAGGGAGGTGGGTGAGGGCTTTCCTCATCAGCATTTGTTATGTGATTGTTGATCTCTTCCACTGACAGAATCATCTCTTCCTGGGGTCTCTGGTGTGCAAGGGGCTGAGGAACAGGACCGAGAGGCTGTTAGCATGCAAGGGAAGTCCATGGCAGCTGCCAAGCCTATGTCTCCCTGGGGCAGCTGCTCCCTCTGGGGTGCTGAGTGGTGGATGGAGGCAAGACCTCCTCAGGCAGGTAGGATTGGGCTTCCTGTGAAGGAGGGAAGTTGCTGGACATTAATGTACTGCCAGCAGCAAAAGCTTCAGCACGGCTTTGGGAGTGGGAAGAACAAAGGAAGGAGGGGTAGGCCAACCTCTCTGGTGTCTGTCTCTTCCTTTCAGCCTCCCTGTGCTCCCTTTCTCTCTGGTTCCATCACCTGCCCTTGGAAGCATGCTAAATCGACTGGATTTGAAGTCCAAAGGTCTGGGGAAATCTAGCTCTGCCACTTATTAGCCTTGCGACCTTGGAAACGACTCAACCTAAAAAGGAGTGATGATAAATTGTTCTACTTCTTTGTTATCTGGTGTGTGTGTGTGTGAGGATTAGAGGAACTTAAAAATGTGAAAGAATCAAGTGCTAAGCTTAGGCTTAAGAGGTGCTCAGGGAAGTTGACTGTCAGTCAAAAAGCCAACCTGCAGCTTCACTTCCTGGTAGCAATAGCGGGCCATGACTCTTCGTGCTCTCCTGCGTCGCCTATGGTGGCGCCGGGGTCCTCTTCGGCTGTAGAAAAGATAGTTGATGTGGACATATTCCAGCAAGGACAGGAACACAAAGAAGAAGCATACGACCATATAGATGTCGATGGCCTTGATACAAGAAACTTGGGGTAGTTTATCCTGCAGATGTGAGTTGATGGTGTTCAGGATGAGCATTGACGTCAGACCTATAAACAACATGGCACAAGGTTAGCCTCCTCAGGTGACTGAAGTTCTTGGCAAGCTATTGGGCCCACATCCCACAGGCAGGGAGCGACAGCCATCTTTGTGGTGGGGAAGGCCTCAAGCCAAAGGCCTTTGGCTCTCTAGCCCTGGGGCATTTGCTCAAGTGCTCTCTTTGCTCCTCCTCCCCCATCTTTACACCCAGCCTGTGCTGCAATGGTTCAGTGACTTCCCATTGCTCTTCAGATCAAGTCCAAAATCTGCAGCCATGGTTTCACAGTAGTTTACATCTCCAGCTCTATTTTTCCCTGTGATAGCTCTTTCCCCTTTTGCCTTCCAGTATGCAGGCTTTCCTTTAGTCCCTCAGTACTAAATGAGATCATGTCTCTTGGAAGGTTTTGTAAGCCTTAAAATATTACACAAATATAAAGGTTTAGCCTAGCATGTGCTCCTAAAGAAGGAGGCTGAGGAGTCTGCCCAAAAGACGGTGAAGGAGAAACCGGACCTGGATCTGGGACACATTGACATTCTGCAGGGTGGGGCCAGATAAACTTGGGAGGTGATCTCTTAGGCTCCTCCTTGGTACTGCTCACAAACTTTTGATGCTCCCCATTGCTTAGACATGAAGTTCCAGCTGCTTAAACTGGAATTTCAAGGTCTTCCCAGGTCATCCCAGGCTGCCTCTCTCTACTACTCTCCCCACTTCCACAGCTCCTGCCCCAGGAACCTTGTGACTTAGCCCCCTTTTAGGGCTCCTGTGTCTTAACTCAAACTATTTTCTCTTTTAGGGAATGTCAAGTCTTGTGTCTGTGCCTCCTACAAGTCTTCGAAATCCAGTTTGAGCAATACTTTCTTGGTGCAGTTTTAGCCAACAAGACCTAGGTCACTTCCTCCTCTGGACTCCAACAGCGTCTTTCTCAGCATTCCACTAGACACTTACCAAGGGCAGCTCCTCTGGAAGACCTCTGTTGCCTAGTAGGGCATTTTGATATGTTGCTTAATCAATGTTGTATTGCATTTCTGATCTAAATTTATGACTTGTCCATTCATTTATGTATCCAGCAAATAATGAATTCTGGTACTTTGGGCCCAACATACCAATATCCCAGCCCTGATTTTTTTTTCACACCTGTCTCCAATGTCGGTCTCTCTGCTAGGGATTGGCAGAGCACCTGTACAAATGCCTTTTGGGCAGGCCCTATCTTGTTTCCTTGCCTGTGCAGTCATACACTGCTCCAGGTACTCCTTCCTTGCTCTCAACTTTTTTTCTGAGCAAGATGACCCAAGTTCCTCCCTGGGATGGGGACAGTACCTACCAACTGTCACCCTGGCTGCAGAGGACTCATAGTTCATCCAAAATGATATCCAAGAGACAACAGTGGTGAGGATTGTAGGCCAGTAGATCTGTACAAGGTAGCTGGTGACTTCCCTCTGGACCAGGAACCTCAGTATCAGGCGCACATAAGAACCTGGCAAGGAGACATACTGGTATCACGGTGGCAGGGCTGAGGAAATTTTCAGGGTCAAGTACAGGATGGAGGAGGGGAAACTGATGGGCAGTTCAGCCTGTAATACTCCAGCCTAGGCAGTCTGCAGACCTGACCCCATTTGCTGCCTTAAGGCCAGTGACAATGGCATGTGTCAGTAGGCCCATATGGCATAGCAAGTCTGCTCTCTGCTCCTTCTTTCCACACTTGCTCCATATCAACTGAAGTTTTTAAATGCGACAGACATGAGATGTTTCAAAGCTGCAAACAGATGGAGGGTTAAGAGGCTGGCCCTGAGAGGAGGCTGTTTTTATCATCAAGAGCATGAATCCTTTACACCTGTGGAGTGTTAAACTTGGCCAAGTGCTTTCACACCCATTTCCTTATTTGCAGAGGGTAAGCCATTGGGATTTTCTGAAGGGGGTTTTGGAAGGTGTCCAGAACCAGAAGGCAATAGGAAAGGAGGCAGCAGAGTGTAGAGGTCAAAATCAGAGGTCCCCAGGAGTTTACCAGGGTATAAAAGAGACAGGAGAGAAGGAAGGAGTCAGACCCACCTGTGTAGAAAAACACCTCTTTGCTAGTCATCGTCTTTCCCAGGAAGCTGAACTGAGCGATGTGCAGCTTCTCAGTCCCCTGAATGGCATTCCCATTGCCTTCCCAGTATAATACAATGTCTTCAACTGTGTAACCATCTGGGAGGGAGAGAGATACAGAGTCAGTCAGTATCAGAAAGTAGGCAGAGGCGGATTTCACACCAGAGGAGCCTATGGAAACCAAACGATGGTTGGAACCTGTACTTTTGGGGGTTCCTTTGTGTTTTGCTGAGTCTGAGCATGGGGCAGGGGGCACTTGGAAAGAGAGCTCTCAGTTTAGAGTTTCTTAGCCAGGAAGGAAAGCAGAGCAAAGAAATGTGCTCCCACCCACTAGCTTGTGCACAATTTCCCAATAGCAAGGTACAATTTTCCCTATGGGGCTATTTACACCCTAAAGGCCACCTTCCCCTAGATGCCATGTATATACCTCTGTCTGTCTGTCTATCTATTTATCCAGGGAGAGAGAAAGGGGGAAGGGAGGGAGTAGGGCAGATATGACGTCCCTCTCACTCTCAAGTCTGCCTTTGGTTTCCCGATGGCCATAACCCCAAGTCAGGAAGAAGGGGCCATGGGAGACATACGTACAGCTCTCCACCTCCAGCTTGCAGGTCTGCTTGTCCAGAGGGAAATTTTGCAGATTCAGAGAACAAGCCGCTGTGGTGGTGAGTCTGCAAAGGAAAAGCAGAAGGAAGGGAAAAATGAGTCAAGCCCAGGCAAGCTACTATTCCTGAGAAAACTGCAGGGGTGGGGAGGAGAGAGGTACCCCAAGGACTGACCCACGTTCCAATACTGCCTACACTAGAGCTGGGTCCTCTTTCCCTCCCTCCCTTTCTGCTATCCTTCTTTCTCCTCTCCCTTTCCTTCCTTCCTTCCTAGAAGAAAGATGAGTTGCAGTTGTATAGGGAGGAGAGAGAAAGTTTGTATGTGACAAAGAAACCAAGAAATGTGGCAAGACTTAAATAAAGAAGGGATGTATGGCATGTCAGGAAACCTCAGGGTGTCAGAACAGGAAGGGCCCTTGAGGAAAATGAATGCAGAGATGGAAAAGGGACTTGCATGCTGAAGAAGCAGCAATGCCATCAAGAGGAATCTGTGCTACGTTGAAGCAGCTGAAGCTCCAGATCCAATATGGAGTGCTCATATGCGATGTGCAGGTATGGACGTGAGCAGGGGTCCAGGCTCAACTTTGGCCATGGGAGCTGCTCCCACAGTGCTCTCATCTTCATATCTGCCTATGAAGGTACTGGGGCCTAGCAAATACCAGTGGTTGTAAATGGATTGGAGGGATTAACATATCTGAGGTGGGCCATGGAGTGTTGGGCAGGGGCTTCAAGTAGCCATGTGGTGGGTCCCTGAGAGTAATCTGAGGAGGGGTCTTGGAGGAGCTGGGAAAGTGGAAGAAATGACCAGTGGGAAAGAGAATAATTACAAAAGCTCTCTGCAGTCTCAGCTGGGAGGCTCTACCCCATCCCTTATCCTGCCCTTCCCAGCTGCTAACCCAGGCCTAGTCTCTGTCAACCCTTGAAGCGGTTTCCATTTTGTACAGTGGGTAGGGTGCGTGTGTGTTTCTCTCCCTTCTATGAATCCTCCATCCAGTATTAATCAGCTGAGGTCCCCTTTAAATGAAACAAGTGTGACCAGTGATCTGTTCCTTGCAGGCTTTGTTGTTCTCTGACTCCAGCGCCTTGGACCACGGGAAAGTGGATAGAGAAAGAAGAGGGAAAGAAAAGACAGAGCAGGAACACCCCTGAGAAAGAGAGACCCAGAGATAGAGCTGGACCCTGGCAGCTACCTCTTGGAGCAATTTTCTGAGCTAAGTTTATCTCTCAGGCTTGTCTTAAGAGATGGTTTGTAAGAGATGACGCTGTGAGGAGAGCCTTGGTGACTGTCTGCTATACTATAAATAGACCAGTGAGGATTTCCAGCATACACACATTCTGTGTGTACAGAGCCATAGACAACAGACACATACTGCACACTCTTGGGCCCCCTGCATGATGCAAATACGACCGATGGCAGAGATCGGTCCCCCTCCCTCGCTGTATGGGCTTCAGTGTTCACCCGTCTCTCTCCCTCACTGCATGGGAGAGAAAAGACATCAAGATAAATAACAGAATGTATAATGCTAAGGCAGAGGGACAGCTCTTCTAATTGAGAGAATCAAGGAGAATTTCTTGAAAAAGAGGGCATTTGAGTTAGGGATTGAAGGATGGGCAAGGTTTAGACTCATGGAAAGGGGGAAAGGGCCATTCCACACAAAAGCAGCAGCAGAAGCCAAAGTGCGGGGATAGGACAGCCAAAGACGGCTATGGGAAACTCTGAAGGTTCCACTTTGGCTACTGGGTAGGATGAGTGAGGCGGCAGTGCAAGACAGATTTGGAAAGCAATAGTCTCCTCTATGTGTCCCTTAGAGTGTGTTCATGGGATACTCAGTGGGAAGAAGGAAGCCTGCTGGGATGGTTCCTAGGCCCCTGGGGGGACTCACCGGATGCCATACCGCACCGTTCCATCTGGGTGAAGCTGAAACACACGATTTTCCACAGTCACGTCATGCACGAAAGCATCCTTGCTATTCAGAAAGTAGCAGTCAGGGACCCATAACTTCTCAAGCATCCGATGGTCCAGGGTCAGGTTCAGGTTGGTCTCATAGTATGCTAAACGTGGATCTTTCCAGGTCTGATGAAAAAACATCGTGATCGTATAGTCCTGGGAAGAGAAAGGTAAATCCCAGTTGTAAGTGAGGTTGTCCACCTCTCCTTCCTCAGAGAGTGTGTGTGTGTGTGTGTGTGTGTGTGTGCAGGTGTATGAAATACATCATAAACATAGATGAGTAATGAAACATATGTAAGAATGTTAAATGTTAAGAATAATAAAATGAACCTCATTTAATTAAAATTCAGGTTAAGAAATAGAACATTACTAATAACTTTCAAGCTTTAATGTGTCCCTCCAGAACATATTTCCCACACTTCCCAGCAGTAACCATTATATTAGATTTTAATGATGATAATTCCCTTGCTTTTTGTTAGAGTTTAATTGTCTATGTATGTATTTCTAGGGAACATATTACTTGGACTTATTTTTAATTTTTTTTCTGAATGGAATCATACTGTATGTATTCATAATTTTCTTCTTTCACTCAACATTATATTTGTGAGATTTGTATGTAATTAAAATTTGTTTACTTGATTGCTGGATAATATTTCCTTATATGAATATACTATGTATATTATTGCCTGAACATACCATACATACCACAATCACAAAGAAACAAAAACTATAAAGTGAAAGTTCCAGTTTACACCCGCCCCCCGACAAGAGCAGATGACAGTTCCCAATGCTCCTGCCTTGCCAACGATGGTATTGTCTGCCTTTTGATTTTTGCCAATCTGGTGGGTGTCATGGGTTCTCACTGTGCTCTTATTTTGCATTCCACTGATTAATAATAAAGTCAAACATCTTTTCATATGCTTATCTGCTGCTTGGTTTTCTTCACAAAAGTGAAGTTCCTGTTCAAATTTTCTGATCATTTTTCTATTGTTTTTTTAATGTTCTTATTAATTCACAGGAATTATGTATATTTTCAGCATCAGTCCTTTGTGTTGCAAATATCTTAGTCAACTCTGACTTATCCTTTCACACTTGTTATGCTGGTTTTGTTTGTTTGTTTTGCAAAACAGAAGTTCCAGATGTTTTGGCTAAACAGAATTTTGATATAGTTGAAGTTACCAGTATTTATTTTTATGGTTTATGTTTTCTGTGTCTTTTTAAAGAAGTCTTTACCCACCACAAAAACACAAAGACAGTATCCTATATTATCTTTTAAAAGCTTCATAAGTCTGTCACTTGTAGGTCTATAATCCATCTGGATTTATTTGTTTTTTATTCCAGGTGGCTATAGTTTCCAAAACCTACCATGTTCTTCCATGTGGGCTCTGTTGAAGGTCAGAACAACTGGAGTTGGCTTATGACCCTGCTCCTTGTCTCATGTCCCCTGTCCCCAGCCCCATGGCTGGAGCTGACACACTTACCATAGTCATTTCTGAGACTTGTTCAATACTGGAGACATAGATAGATACTCCTACAGGCACAGGGGCACCTACAATACAGGAAGACACTATTATATGCAGGGTAGGATAAAGGGTAAGAGCTTGGACTCAGGAGCCAGACTTCCTGGGTTTGAACCTTATTTTGACACTATCTGTGTGACCTTGAATAAGTTACTTAACCTCTCTTAGCCTTAGTTTCCTCATGGGTAAAATAAAGAGAAAATAAGGGGATGAAGCACTCTTTTTCTAAATGTTTTACCGATAAAAACTCAAGAGCAATGAGCCCAAAATACAAGAGCTAAGATTTGTGGTGTGTATGAGCACATTTGTGTTAGTGCATTTGGATGTGTCCACGTGTGAGTGAATGTCTGTCTTTGTGTGAATAAATGTGTGAGCTGTGCACGTGAGTGTATGTGAGCATGTTCACATATATGAGTAAATCTGTGAGTGTGTTCATGTGCAGGTAGATGAATCAGTGTGTACATGACTGTATGCGAGCATATCTGTGTGTGAGAGAATGCATGAGCAAGTTTGTGTGCTTGAGTGTGTTGTGTGGGGGTAAATGTGTGACTATGTGTGTGTGTGTAGGCATGTTGTGTGGGAATAAATGGATGAGTGTGTTCATGTGAAAGTGAATGTGTTTATGTGTGAGTGAGTGAATGTGTGACTATTTGTGAGCATATGTGAGCTTGTTAATGTACAAGGGAATGTGTGAGAAAGGGTGTATTTGTAAGTTTATCTATGTGTATGAATGTGTGTGTATGTCAGCATGTCTGTGTATATGAGTGAATTTGTGTGTGTTCATGTGTGAGTGAATGCATGAACATGTTTATGTGCTCGCATACATTGCATGTGAGTAAATGTGTAACCACATGCAAGCATGTAGGCATGTTGGTGTGTGGAAGTATATGTATGATTGTGATCATTTGCAAGTGGATGTGTGAGCATCTGCGTATTTGTGAGCTTGTCTCTATGTGTGAGTGAATTTGTGTGTTTGTATAAGAGCATGTTAATGTGTATGTTCATGTGTGTGAGTGAATTTGTTATGGTTTTCATGTATGTGAGCATGTTTGTGTGTGAGTGAATGTGTGAGTGTGTACATATGAGCATGTCTCTGTTTATGAATATTTAAATATTAAATATTTAAATGTTTTTGTGGGAGTAAATGTGTGAACATGTCTGTAAATATGAGTGTGTTCGTGTGGAAGTGGGAGTGAATATGTGAGTGTATACGAGTGTGTTTGTGAGCCAGAATGTGTGAACACATTTCTGGGTGAATGAATGTGTGAACATGTGCATGTATTTGAGTGTATTGTGTGGGAGCGAATATGTAGGTTGTCTGTGTGAGCCTGTTCATGTGTTAGTGTATGACATGTGAGCATGTGAGCATGTCCATGTGTCAGTGAATGCATGATCATGTTTGCGTAAAGTCGTTGTGCTTATATGAGTATATGTGAGTATGTTTGTGTACTGAGTGAATGTGTCTGTATGTTCGTGTTGTGAATGTGTTTGTGTGTGGGCATATTAAGTGCATGTGTGAGGGAATGTGTAAATGTGTGCATGTGAATGCATGTGTATTTTTGCATGTGTGAGTCAATGTGTGTTTGTGTGAGTGAATGTTTAGGAATGGAAGTGAACTTATGAGTGTGTGTATGTGTCTGTGAGTGTGAGTGAGCATGTCCATTGTGTGAATACATGAATGTCTTTGTGTGTGTGACTTTGTTCATATGCAAGGACTAAGTGTGATAAGTGATCACACATTCACTCACACTCATCACACATTTGAGTGTATAAGTGTGAGTGTCTCAAAGCACATTCATGTGTTTGAGTGAATGTGTGAACATGTCCATGTGAGTGTGATTGAATATGAGTATATGTGAGTGAGTCTGCGTGACTGAATGTGTGAGTGTCTTTGTGTATGAGTGACTGTGTGGACATGCTGATGTGCAAGTGAATCCATGAGCATATTCATGTGTGTTAGCGTGTCACTGTGCAAGTGTGAGTGAATGTGTGAGCATGTTAATGTGTGAGTGTGTACATGTGGATGTCTATGTGTGTTACTGTGTGAGCATGTTCATGTGTGAGCATGTTCATGTGTGAGCATGCTTGTGTGAGTTGGTAAATATGTGGACATGTTTGTGTGTGTGAGTATGTTCATGTGTATGAGTATGCTCATGTGTGAGTGAATGCATGAGACTGTGTGCAAGCATGTTAATTTGCATGTGTGAGTGTGTGCATATCAGTATATGTGTGAGTATTTTTTTTGTGAGAGTGAATGTATGTGAGTTATTTATGTGTGTGAATGAATGAGCGTGTTAATGTGGAAGTATGTGTGTGAGTGTGTGCATGTGTCTGTGTGTGAGTGAATTTGTGAGTGTGTTTGTGTATCTGAGCATGTTTGTGTGTGAGTGGATGTGCGAACATGTTCATATGTGTATGTGAATGTGTGAGCACATTCATGTGTGTATAAATGTGTGAGCAAAAGTGAGTGTGTGAGCATGTGCATGCGAGTGTATGTAAGTGTGTGTGTGTGTGAATTTGTGTGTTCATGTGAGTGAGGGCATGTGTGAGAGTGTTTGTGTTAATATGTGAGTGTGATTGAATGTGTGAGTCTGTGTGTGTGTTCCTGCCCCTTGGCTTTCTTTTTCAGGCCTAGGTGTTACAGCTGCCCATTCAAATGTGATTATGGATGTGAAAATATGCAGTAAACTATAAGGTACAGTGGAAAAATACATTTTTATTGTTTCCTCATTAGCTCAAAGCTGCCTCCACCAAGCCCCACAGCTAAGTCATTATTCTATGTGTATTACATCACACTGCTGCTATGGAAACACGCGTGACGCCTTGCATTTCAGCCTGCTGGCTTCACTGCAGGCTGATTGCCCAGAAGCCGAGCTGCAAAGAAGGAAATGTGTTATTCCTATCCCAATGCTTCAAAAAGCAAAGTGCTATTGTGAATCAGCATATAAATGGCAGCTGAGAAGTAAATGGACCTCTGTGTGAGGGCATAGCCCAGAATCCAGCATTCAGGTCTGTTGTGAATGATCCTCAGCGAAGTGCTGTGTAGTGACATGAGTTTCTAGAAACTCAATTACTTATTACAGCCTTTCAGGCTCCCCACATGCCTTTAGAGGATGGAAGCTGTGTTAGGCAGGCAACAAACTCCAGAAAGGCCAGGCAGCCACCCCCCTGACCTCACTCCAGTGTCAGACTTCTCATCCTAGACCATTCCTTGCCACTCAGGCAACCCCAGCCCTTAGAGAGGAATCCTGGGGACCCAAACCCTGAAGGGCCAGAGCACAGCCCTGTCCAAGGACTCCCAGTTTAAGGGGCAAGTGGGACCTGAAATGGAGTCATGAGTCCTAGCCCAGGGATGTAGCCGGAGGAAGGAGACCTGGGACCTTTTTCTAATTTATCCGCCTAGAGGGGACACCTTATGTGCTAGCAGTGGTCAGAAGGAGAGCTTAGCTAAGGTATCCCACATCCCTAAAAGAATAAAGGAAAGGAGCAAGAAGCTTCCAGATAAGGTATCTAAATACTATGTCTGGGGTCATGGCCTTAGCCCCATATCTCATCGCTGTCCCTCTTGGAAATTTTGCTGCCCCAATTCCTCTTCCTCCCTAGTATCCATCAGACTACCAGGAGAAGAACAGATAAATGAAGGAATGATAAAGACGTCCCATTCATTCCTTCACTCCACACCTGTGTTGTGCCAGGTGCTGCACTAGGCAAAGTCCTCAAGGACCTGCCTTTTACAACAATGTGAAGTTCCACTTCTGTTGCCCAGAAAGAAGCAGCTTTGTAACTTTCCCTGGCTCCCCCTTCTCTTCTTGATCCTCCTCCTTTTCTCAAGGAAGTAACAAGGCTCCCATTTGAACCTGACCACAGTTAGGTGAAGCCTCTGCATGGGGTGTGTGTGTGTGTGTGAAGCCCTGAAACTCTACTTCACCTCAGACACAGACGGGAATTTGACCTGTGTCTAGTGGGAGGCCTCACAGGGAGTCCTGGGTTCCCCCAACCCAGAACCCCCTGGCCCAGCTGTCCCATTGATTGCCCCCTGCACCCCATACAACAGCCCCAGACTTAGAGACTGTAGTGCCTCTTCTGTCTAAATGCTAGCAAGTCCTGCATTGTCCTTGCCCTCCCACATTCATTTACTGTTTGGCCAAATCAGGGACCCATCTTTTCTCATATGCCCCAGGTCTGCATGCCCATAAAGCTTAGTGTAACCTGAGAGGTTAGGTATCAGGTGTAAACAAATCTGAGTTAGCTCAAAAGATGCTAGCAAGGTGCCTTGGAGATATTGTGGACCAGCCACACCTGACAATCCCGAGAGATTGGTACTTGCCCCTGCTCCCTCCCCCGGCCCTGGATGCCTGTAGAGATGGCAACCTGAAAGGGGGAGGATGTGCTTGGCATAGTTAAACGGCTGCTGGTCATCCTTTGCTGAGAAACATGAGAACGAGGAAAAAAGAAAATGTAGTAGCTACTCCCTTGACACCCACCGGTGCGTGGTGCAACTGATCCAAAACTGGGGTAATGCAATAGAGTGCTGGCTGTGCCCTAACACCTGAATTCCCGTATTGAAAGAGCCTGCTTTCTGCTGTCTCCACTCCTGCTTCCCAGTTTCCAGTGCACACTCACCTTGGCTCCTGGGGCTGCGCCTTCTGCCCTCACACTCAGAGGGAACAATGGAGCAAAGGGGACACCAGTCAAGTGTCCCACCTCCAAAGCTTAGGGCCCAGGATGACCACTTTGGTTTTCAAGGTGGCTTCTGGGGCAAATCACCGTGCCCCCACTGGTCTACCACAAGGGCAAGTCCTCAAAGCTGTGTGCCTTTCAAGGTGGAGGCATTGTGTATTCAGAAGACCTCTATTCACATGTACAAATGTGAACCATTAGCATTCATTAACCCTTTAGAGTGGGTGTCTAGTTTGACCACCTGCAGGAAGTCGAGTGCTTTCTTTGACTTAGCCACTCTGCTTTTTAGCTCTTTCTCTGTTTCCTTTGAGCTGAAATGTGACTAACCTCTACTTAATGCACTCTTTCTGTCTGTCCTTGGTCTAGGTTTCCTCGGTGTCCCCTGGGCCAGAGACTGCTACTTTTATTCTGTGGGGTCCAGGTAGGTTGCCTGTCTCTTCAAGCTGTGTGATCAAAGCCAGTCACCCTTTCCAAGAGGGGAGGCTAGGCAGAAATACATGGAGAAACTGATGTATTGGCTCCCTGGAGGTTTGTGCTTCAGTTTTCTTGTCATTTCTCATCTCTGCGCTTGAGACCTGAGTGTTAGGCTAAGGAGTTTGGATTTTATTTGGCAGCTAAATAAAGCCATCAGAAGTTCCTGAGGTGGTCAGGCTGGATTTATAGAGATCACGCTGACTGCAGTGCGTTGAATGAACTGAACTTTGTGGGAGCTGAAGGCTTGGGGAGGGGGAGCAGAGGCAGAAGTGCCTGGGACCTGGGTGGGTGAAGTAAACTAGATGAAGGCCATGCTCTTAGTCTTGAACTAGCTGAGTGGGACGAGTGTCCAGGGTGAAAATAATGTGTGCTTAAGTAGAAGAATGTGTGCCCTCCCCATAGATGGGGCAGAAAACTCTAGCCTGAGAAGCATGGTGCGTTTTGTTTTGCACACCCATTTCTGTGCTTAGCACTTCTCCAGCCACACCAGGGAGCGCACCTCAGGCTGGGGGGCGATTGTAAGGGAGTGTGAAGAGGGCAGAAGGTCTTCTGCATAAGAAGGCAGAGAAGTGGGAGAAATTCCAGGGGTAGAGCAAAAGGCCTGGGGGTTGGGAGCCTGGGAGTGCTCCACTTCACTTCAGGTCTGCGCAGAGTCAGGAAGGCCGGGTCTGGAGAGGCAGTAGTGTTGAGCCTGGGGGAGTACCACTGGTCAGTTTACTGGGTGGGGCTGGCTTGTTGTGTCTCAGCTCTATTCCACCTAACACAAAGACTTCTAGTGTCTGGACATGTCTTACCTCCAAAATTTGGTCTGAGACGGACATCATATCTCGACAGCACCCTATCCAAAATCTTGTGAACCACAGCTTCATTTGCACAATTTTTGCTGAAACAGAGAAGTTATCAATAAATGCTGGTCATCAGTAAATGCCACATTGCTTCTCAGAGAACAAACAACAAAGAGCACCCCAGACGTCAACTTGCCAGGGCCGTCCTTTCTCCTGCACACACGCAGACACATACAGTCATACATGTGTGCGTCTCTCACAGCTCCCCTCCCTCCCCAGAGAGAGTCAGCCAGAAGCGCAGCAGTGACGCAGACTCCTCTTTCCCCCTCCCCCTCCCCAGCTTTTATCCACAGGGTGGGGCACAAAGACTGGATCCTAGTTACCAGGCAGGATTGGGGTTGGGGAGGAGGGGAAACTGTAGGGGAAGTGGAGACGGGAGCGAGTGGGAGGGTATGAGCCCTCAGAAAAATGCATTGCTTCAACCCCCTAAGAACCCCCACCCTGCCATCAGCCTGGATGCAGCTTTCTGGGTTGGTGGGAGTCCTCCTTCCAGGGGCACCTGATTGCCCCAGAAAGGTCATCTTCCACCTTCAGTGCCCTCCTGAGCTGAGCCAACCAGTCTACATTCTCCAGCTCAGTCACATTTCCCCTACCTGGACTGGGGCTGGGCATTTTGTTGTCATGTCCTTGGTTTTGTACACCTCTGTTTTTAAGACTTGGCATATGATGCAGAGAGAGAGCCTTGTTCATGTAGCAGAGATTTATTACCCTCACTCAACCAAACCATTTCAGATTCTTGGGGCTCAGGGCTGTCTTCAAAAAGACATATATTCTGAGAGCAGGCATCTCTCTGGCTAAGCATGTGCTTCCAGCCTAGACGTGTCTTGAGTGAGCACATGTAAGGGGACCCAGCTCAGCCCTGCCGAGATCTGGCCTTTCCAAAAATCTCTGATGTACTCACCCATTTCACCTAGAGCTTCATTGGGGCTCTTTCCTCCAAAAGGGGATTGTGAATGAGAACAGGCCCTGGGCATCACTACGACTCTTAGGATCTTTGACGCATTGACCAGGGAACATCAGCCCTTGCAATCTCAGTGTGTGTGTGTGTGTGTGTGTGTGTGTGTGTTCACAAGCGCAGTCTGGCATGTCAGGTTGAGGCCATTGCAGAGCTCTTTGCCTAAACCTTGCCCAACTACCCCCCTCCACTTTTTTTCTGAATACATGTTCATTGCTGGTTTGCCATTAAAAAATATTTCCAGTAATCTTTAATGATAAAATTTCATTTTGCATCATTCCGAAGTGTGCACACGAATCATTCCCATCTGTTTAGGACCACACATTACCCATGTGCCAGTGCTCAGCGTCTGTGTGTGATCTACCCGTAAAGGCTGACTGTTTAATATCTCTTCGGATATTTGTAGACCCAAACAAACTTGAAATCAAACACAGAAAAAAACGTGAATCTTCAAATGTTTTCACAGGAGTAAGTACAAAAGTGCACCCATTTCAGGCCACACAGTTATACAATTATACAGTCACCTATCACTGTCTGGGCTCCGATTGGGTTGAGTCAGTAATTTCTATCTGTGGCATCAGAAAAGGTCCCTCACCACTCAACATACACACGCACCAACATACATGCATGCCTCAGGGAACAGACAAAAATCTGGACTCAAACAGGTGTCTCTACTCTCTATGTGTTGTGAATTTCCCGTCACCCTGTACACCACCCCCTCAATCCCACAGGTGCCAAAGGACATACGTAACTGGGAAAAGCTGTCTCCGGCCTTAGCTGCCAGGGGCCTCAGTCCCTGAGGATGGATGGCAGACCCTAGGGTGAGGACATCCTCCCTCCCATCCCTGGGGCTGCAGTTTGGGTGCAACACAGGGCTCTGTCAGGCGCCTCAGTTACGGATGGGCTGAAGCACAAGGCTCTAAGTCAACCGGCTGCCCCCACTCCTACTCCATCCTCCTCCAGGGACAGGCAGGCAGGGCCCCAGTGCCAGGGCTCGCGAGCCTGGATTCAAGTCTCCCCCAGCCCGCTCCGTCCAAGAGGCCCGAGGCCACTCGCCCACCCCTGTCGCCTTTCTGCCCAGCCTGACGGCGCCCGCTTACCAGTTGAAGAGGTTCAAGACGACTTCAGGCACAGTGGAGGAGAGCTCAAAGTGGAATTTCGGGGTAGGACTGGGGTCATTGCTCTCTGCGAGCCAGGTCCTGATGAGCAGCAGGAGCACAGCGGCTCGAAGCATCCCTCGGATGCCCATGGCCGCGGAGCTCCGGGGGCCAGAAGGTACGAGAGACGGCCGTCCGCGGCCCGGGAATGGGACAGGGCGGGGGCAGTGCGGGGCTAAAGGGAGCTGAGGGGTCGCTAGGAGTCGCCTCTAAGGACACGGCAGCGAGGGTACAGGGAGCAGGGAGCGCGGAGATCGGGCCAGAGCTCAGAGCCCGGGAGGAGCAGACCACCAGCAGCTCTGCCCGACGCAGCGCCCCTAGGACGCGCCTGGCAGCTGCGAGGTGCGCTCCGTCTGCGGCCGCCCGGGGCTGGAACTGGGCACCCCAGGCGCCTGGCTCGCTCCGCCCACTCCGACGGCAGCACCAGCCGAACCAATCCGGCAGGTGCCAAGAGCCACACAAAAAGGCGCGCGCTCCTGCCTCCGCCCACAGCCTGCGCGCCGCCAGGCCCCCCGCCCCTTCAGTCCTCTGCAGCAGTCCCCCGGCCAGCCTCAGACACAGACAGGGGCGGGGCCAGGCCAGGGGAAGGGGAGGGGAGCCAGCTGCTGGAGGGCTGGGCACGGATCCGCTGCTGGGGGCACCCGGTCGGTCCTGCTCTTCCTCTCAGGCAAAAATGCAAAATGTGTGCTTCTCCTGGAGGAGCATGTGCCCACGAGTTTGTTTTTTTCTGGTGAAGGGAGTGAGGTGATTTGACTGCCCTGGCTGAATCTGCATTCCGAAAGAGCTGGACACATTTGGGGATCAGAAGGTATCCGACTGCTGCTCATTCCCAAACCCTTGACCCTCTGGTAACCCACGTGCCTTGCCTCTGGATGGAGTGGAGGGGGATCGCCAATGGGTTTTATAACAGAGCTCTGGCCAGAGCAGGAGTGCCTCTCCATCAGGATGGAAACTGGGCTACAGGAGCCCAAGAGTTTCTTGAAGACTTAATTTGCCAGTGTATTTTTGGCCCCAGGTTTGGGTCTCCAGGACAAAGCTCAGGGAACTGGAAGGATTCACCAACTGGGATCACCTTGAGATGTGACTCTGTCCCGTAGCCAGGGCATGTAGAGTTGAAGTGAGGATCCAGGGCTAACACCACGGAATGAGACAGAAGGCAAAGGCTAGTGTTTCAGATGTTCAAGGGAGTTAGCTCCTGGAGAGCAGGCCACTCCCGTGCTCCTGCATTCTGGCCCCATCATGTGGAAAAGCCTAGCCCTCTAGACTTGGCTAGAGGGCTCTTATTCTTTCCACTACCTCAAATACTGTCCTATGAAACAGAAGGATCTCAGAGGATAAGGAAATTCCTCCACTCAATCCCCTCTGTCCTTCCCATCGCAGATCCATGAGAAAGCAAGTTCACAAATGTCCCGCAGAGCCCATGGGCCAGACGGGCAATCAACAAATAGACCTCAGTCATGTTTACCAGTGCTGAACCTCCTAAGGCATGCCATTGAGAAGGGTTGCAATGAAAATGGATTTCAGGTTCACTCTTGGTTAGCTAGAACATTCACACAGAAATACAGCTTTCTTCCCCTTTCGCTGAGTATTTGGCGAAGTGAATTGGGACTGCTTGTGCCCAGCAAAGCTTTGGTTGCCTGGTTGGCTGAGTGTTTCCCACAGCTAAGTGTTTAACTCTTTGTTAGTGCTTTCTTAACCATTTTAAAATCAAACCTTAAAAAAATGTGTCTCATAGTTCCCTGCCTTCTTCTAACCAACAGAGCACCTTCACACCTTCCTTTCTCTTTTTCCTTTGCCTCTCTTTCCCCTGGCATTGCAGCAAATGCTCTCCTTCCCACATGGGTACAGAAATAAAAAAGGATAGTGGGATGCCTATGTCACTGACTATCACATACAGGAGTGGATCAATAGAACCCACCCCTACTGCTATTAGTTCTCCCCCCATCATCCCTAGTCACCCAGGCATCCTTCTAGAGACAATCCTTGCTTGATAAAAGTGGAAGAGTCATTCCAGGTCATTTTTTCCAACCATGTGGATTGTAATATGGGGAAACTGAGACCCAGAGAAGGAAAAGAGATTGGCCCAAGGGAACATAACAGTAGAGGCCCCAACTAGAATCCCCATTTCCAGGTTTGCCTATTTCCAGAACGTTACATTTTTTAGTGTGATTCAGCTTTGACTGGAAGTTCAGACAACCACCAGCAGGTGGGAGTAGATTTATTTAGATACCAGATGTTCCCAGCCCCCTGGAATCAAATTACACAGGCAATTGGTCCCTCATTTGTCAGGGCAAACAAACCTGAAGCTTGAAGTTTTATTCCTAGGGGTCCTTATGACTATGAAGATTGCCAAAAAGTTGATGATGATAATGAATTCACTTCCAGACCTTACATCCAAGAGGGCCCTCCCTGACTTCTGTTCTCCCTAGTGGTAATGCTTGGTTGAAATTTCTAACTCACAAGACAAACAGCCCAAAAAGCAACAAGAAATACAAAAATGCCACTATAACTAGTACTTGTTGAGCTTTTTCTAGTTAATATATTAGAATATCCATAAATATCCTAACTGAATGGACTTAACCTGAATATGGGATCATGGAGTAGGGGAAAGAGCACTGTCCTGGATGTTAGCCCATCTGTGTTCTGGACAAAAGTTTGCCACACGACAGTGAATGTTCCAGTTTGGCTGGAGGGTAGGGTAAGTTTGGAAAAGGACAAGAGGTAAGAGAGGTAAGAGACAAGAGATCAGGCAGAATCTGGCCTAGTGAGCACCACACATTCAGTGCACAATAAATACATGAAGCAAGAAAGAGAGTTTTGGACCTAATTGTCCAAACTAAGGGATTTTATTTTTATTTTAGAGTCAACTATAAGCTTTTGAAGCGTTTGTACAAGGGAATGACTCAATCAGAGTGGTGCCTTGGAAGAACCCCTGGTTACTTTGTAAAGGAGGAACTGGAAGGAAGAGAGACTGAGGACAATGAGAGCAGTTAGGAGAGTATTGTATACCACTGCTTCTGGTAATGACAGCTTGGGTAATTTGGACTAATTGTCCCAATGAGGACAAGTAAATAAAATGAAATGTAGGATGAAATATAGGAAGAAATAATCTTCATAAGCTAAAAATAATGAGGCTAATTTATAGATTCAATGAAATTCCTATAAAAATTCCAATGGCATTTTTCACAGAAATAGAAAAAACAATCCTGAAATTCATACAGAACCACAAAAGATCCCAAATAGTCAAAGAAATCCTGAGAAAGAAGAAGAAAGCTGGAGGCATCACACTTCCTGATTTTAAAATTTGTTACAAAGCTATAGAAATAAAAACAGTATGCTATTGGCTTAAAAATAGACACATAGACCAATGGAACAGAAACAAGAGCCCAGAAAAAAGCCCACATATGGCCAACTAATATTTGACAAGGGAGCCAAGAATACTTAATGGGGAAATTATTGTCTCTTCAATAAATGGTGTTGGGAAAACTGGATAACCACACGCAGAAAAATGAAATTGGACCCATTCTTACACCACTCACAACAATTAACTTGAAATGGATTAAAGACTTAAGACCTGAAACTGTAAAACTACTAGAAGAAAACATAGCAAAAGAGCTCCTTGACATTGGTCTTGGCAACTATTTTTTGATATGACACCCAAATTACAAGCAAAAAAAGCAAAAATCAACAAATGGGACTACGTCAAACTAAAAAGCTTCTGTTTAGCAAAAGAAACCATCAGCAAAATAAAAATGCAATCTATGAAATGGAAGAAAATATTTGCAAATCACATATCTGATAAGTGGTAATATCCAAAATATATAAGGAACTCATACAACCCAATAACAAAACAACAAACAATTCAATGAAAAAATGGGCAGAGAAACCGAAGATATTTTTCAAAAGAAGACATGAAAATGGCCAACAGATACATGGAAAGGTGCTCAACATCACCAATCATCAGGGAAATGCAAATCAAAACCGCAATGAGGTGTCACCTTACACCTGTTAGAATGGCTATCATCAAAAAGACAAGAGCCAACAAATGTTGGTAAGGCTGTGGAGAAAAGAGAACTCTTGTGCATTCTTGGTGGGAGTGTACATTGGTAGAGCCACTATAGAAAACAGTATGGAGGTTCCTCAGAAAATTGAAAACAGAAGTATCATACGATCCAGCAATCTCACTTCTGGGTATGTATCTGAAGGAAATTAAATCAGGATCTGAAGAGCTACCTGTACTTCCATGTTCATTGTAGCATTATTCATAATAGCCAAGATATGGAAGCAATCTAAGTGTTCATCAATAGATGAAAGAATAAAGAAGATGTGGTATATATATATATATATATATATATATATATATATATATATACATATAATGGAATATTATTCAAGCATAAAAAAGAAGAAATCCTGTCATTTGAGACAACATGGATGGACCTTGAGAGCATTATGCTAAGTGAAATAAATCAGACATAAAAACGCAAATATTGTATGTTTTCACTTATATGTGGGATCTAAAAAAGCTGAACTCAAAGAAACAGAGTATAGTGGTGGTTGCCAGGGGCTGGGGGGTAGGGGGAAATGGGGAGATTTTGGTGAAAGGATACAAACTTCCAGCTATAAGATGAATAAGTTCTGGGGAGCTAATGTCCAGCATGTGGACTACAATTAATAATGTATTATATACTTAGAAGCTGTTAAGAGAATAGATCTTAAAGGTTATCATCACAAAAAAAGTTAATTATGTGATGGGATGGAGATGTTAATTAACATTTTTGTGGTAATTGTTTTGCAATATATATGTGTATCAAATCATCACCTTAAACTTACAAATGTTATATGTGAATAATATCCCAATAAAGCTCAAAAAAAAAAGAAATAATGAAGCTAAAATCCAGAAAAAGATAGGAATCTAGAGAGGGAAGTCCAGCACTAGAAGCCACTTTTGCCCTGAGGGCATTTGGTGAATCAGAAAAGAATTGTGAAACTGAGCTCTGGTTTTGGTGGCCCCATGAGCAAAGGGGACAAATGTTGAAGCCCAGGGCGAAATCATGTGGGAGATTTGATAAGCCTTTCTGCCACTTTAAGC